TAATAGTAAAAATTGACATGTTGCACAAAATTTCTACATAGTTATTACAGTAGACATGTCGATCGCGTGAAATGTCGCCTGACTGATATGCAAACATAAATGCTTGCGTGCTCTACATTGTGCCATACGCAAATGTAAATGTTGCGTGCTCTATGCCATACGTTACACCAATATGTGTATGAAAATAATTAACACAAATTTTTTTTCAAATGATTTAAAAACTTAAATTTTTTATTCTTTAAAAAAACAACTAATCTTGAATTAGAAAATCTAAATCACATCATATATAGAAAAAAACAATCTTATTAATTATCTATATTATTATCATCATTTTCTAAAAAATTATTTACTAATAATTCAGGATCATAGTCCAAATTATAAGAATTATCTTACTTCATTATTATTATATATTAAAAAAATTAAAATCAATAATGTCATCAATTATTAAGGTGTTTCTTGTCTGAATTGAATTATCATTTAAATTAACATTATTTAAATAATCATTTTCTGATTCTAAACTCATTAAAGCACCAACTGATGAATCATTTGCTACATTTCTTAACTCATTGCTAGTTGATGTTTTATCATAGTACAAGAGTTCAGCTTTTATGTTGGTTAAATAGTAAGACCTAATTTTTGAAATATTCAAGTCTCTGTATGGCAAGTCTAGTTCTGCGATCTCCTATTATCCATTTAAGAGTAGAAAAATTTCTTCCACAATTTGATTGAGTTGGGGTTATTCCAAATAATCTGATTGCAATTTCAGATAAGTGGCTAGGTTTATTTTTAATTGAACCCCACCAAAGTTCAGGTGTGTCCATTTCTTCAACATATGGTAAGTCATAAGGAGATAATTTTGCTTCAAACTTTCATAGTTGAGAAATTAATTCATTACTTTCTTGTTCACTATGGTTTAAATTTTTCCACAATTTAACAGCAACTAATGCTGCCTCTCTAAAACCACCATTTCGTAAACCACCACCTAATTTTAAATTAATAATTAAGTTATAAAATAAAAAATAATAAAGGACAATTTGAGCCATATAAACTATTTCAAACCTCTGTATAATGGATGAATGTAATAACATAATAGATAAGCAGGATGTTGAAATTCTATATAACGATTGTTAAATATATGGATTGCGGAAGTTTTAAATTGATTTGAGTCCAGCAATTTGAAAATTACAACAGCTAATTTTATCATGTAAATAAAACAATCTGCCAAGGTGGCTGTGTTTGATTCTAGTATGTTTATACATTCTTTAATAGGACTCCAAACTGAACAAATATGGTGGCATTTAGTTAAAAAATCTTCATTTTGTAATAAAAACAATACTTCATCATTTGAAATTACATATCTATTTTCAGCAATTATCTAATAATGAATGAACATAAAATTGTGAATATAAAAAATTTTAAAATTACAATTGTCTTAAATAAAAACATACCCAATCAAACACTGGTAGTGCACATAAAATAGAATCAGTTGTCATATAAAGTGAACCCCACCTTGTTTTTACCCAAGCTTGTAACCCTTCAGATCTAATTTTCATTTGCTGCAATCCTTGACGTAACTTAAAACATGCTTGGTAAGAATTATGAAAAAATTTTGTGATTTTTCCACATTTTGTAATAAATTCTTTGATATCATCAATTTTTACAAGACCTGATGCTATTAAATTTATTGAGTGTGCAGCACATCTTATATCCCAAATGTGAGGATACATTTCTTCAGTTTTTTCACGCGCAACACGACATGCTGGAGCAGCATCAGTAACTATAGCAGCAAATTTATCTGAACCAATTTGTTCTACAATGTCTGAAATTTCATCTGCGAGAAAGTTACCAGTGTGAGAAAAACCTGAATAATTTTTTAATGCTATTATTAAGTATTCTTTCCTAGATGGTGTAGAGATAATGTAATTGTATATATAATGATTCATTTCTTCTAGAAGTCCAACCATCTAAGGCTAAAATAAATAATTAATAATTAATAATTACTTTTAATCCTTACAATCATATAATAATAATAATATAAAAAAAAATTTTGCAAAAAAAAAAAGTAAAAAATATAATATTATTTAAAATCATTAATTCATTTTGAAAATAACCCACACATTTATTACATTAATTATTTGAATTTTAAATAATTAGAAACTTACTCAATGTTAAATTATTGGAAGACTCTAACTCTTTTTCAATGTTTAGATTGACTCTAGCAACTTCCTGGTCCAAAAGCTGACCAGATAATGTTGTTCTTGATGGTGGTGTATATCCTGGGTTAAGTTCCTTAAACAGGTCTATAACAAATGGATTTTCTATGACTTCGAATGGTATTCCAGCTATTACCCATGCTTTCAACAAAGCATGATCAATTCTTTCAGTAACAGAAAGTGGTAGAGGTTTTTTTGAACCAAAATGATCTGTTATATATGGTTGTATACCAGGAAGAGGTGTAGTAGGATTTTTTTTGAACAAGAGTAATTGACCACTTCTGTTGCAAGTGTATCTTTCCAAAATTTACTAATATCTGGTGGACAAGGCAAGCATTCATTAGCTAGGTGTGCTTTCAATTTTGCAGGTTTACCCCTTGCCCAAGTTTTACTACAATAATAACATGTTGCGGAATAATGGCCATCATTTTTCTCTTGACCTTTGTTATAATAATTCCAGATTTCATCACTTTTAGGACCACCTTTATTTGCTTTTCGTTTTTTTGTAGGTGAACAAGGAGGTTGGGGAGAAGGACTTTCATAAAAAGTATGTTCATTACTCTCTGCATCGGAAGTTACATTGATAATGGTGGCATGTTCATTCATTGATTCAAATTAATTTATCAATGTTAATAGATGATGATGATATGATGATGATTATTTTATTATTGCAGAAGTATATATATATAATGAAAAAAACGTTGAATGTTTAATCATAAAAACAATGTTTTTTATTATCTGAGAAATTTTTAGTCATATTGACTTGGGATATTTTATTCTTAAAAAACCAGTCGATAAATTTTTTTGATGTGAAATAAGCTAGGCATTTGATACATAATACGGCATATGTAAAGTGACGCATTGCCGTGTTTATGCTGTACTGATATCGAAACCCTCAAGTGTTCATACAGGGTGTTAAGAAAAAAACGGCGGTTGGTAAAAATATTGTTTTTAATAAAAAAATAGCCAAAATTATTAATATTAATCTTATGGGAGATTCTACAAGGAGTAAAGGTTCTGAGGAATTAGTTTTCATTTTTTTGACTGCACGTGTATTATGAATTAGTCTTTTTCTTTTATTGGTCCGGCATTTTATTAAACACGAAAACTTTTATAAAATATAATTTATTCAAAAGTTGATTAATTCTAAATATTTCTTTATTTAAACTTGATTATTTTATTTTTTACGATTCTTACGAAAGATACTTTATATTTTCTTTAAAAGGAAATGATTATTGAATTTGCGGTCCGCCGATCAACGATAGAAACTCACTAATAAAAACGTATTAGTATATGAATTTTATAAATAATTGGCATGGAGACAAGTGGTGATAACTATACATGAAGTTGAAATTAAAACCCCAAAGTCGAAATGTTTCGACTTGAGGCAACTACATAGTAAAAATCAGTTTCGACTTCATGTATAGTGATAACTACCACT